TGAAAATTATCTGTGTGTTTGTGTGTGTGTATATACATATATATGGAAAGAGAAAGAGATATCTCTAAACTCTAACTCTCTCTCTCATTCTCTCTTTCAGAAATAGAGAGATTCTTTCTGGTTATCTGTTAAACTATATAAAAACCTGTCTTCTGGGACCCAGTTAGATTAAAACATTAAGACGCAATTGAAAAAGAAAGGAAATAGTTATCATCAGACTTATTTAAAAGTAGATATTTTTTGTCTGGTGATTTGTTAAAATTGTTGAGACACCACCCCCTCAAACACACTGCCTGCTCCCCCGCTGCATCCTGTGTCAGATGGGTGATTTGCCTTCCTGCTTCCAGCCCCACTTTTAGTGTGATGCTGCCTAACTGGAAAGTAGTTTATTAGAATCTAGAGAGAGGAAAGAATTTGTTTGAAAGGCAATCTCTAGCAATGACCACAATGTGCTTACCCTTCCCCAGCACCTCTTCCGTTTAAGAACTACTGTTCCAGAGAAATAAGATGTAATATTTATACAATGTTTTTAGAGTTAAGATCTGGGGAATAAGCCAGACTGAAGATACTCCAATTACCCTGATTTGATCCATTCACATCATATGTGTGTATGAAAACATAATATGCGCCCTATAAAGATATACAACTATTATGTACTCAAGTAGGAAACAAAAAATCTCAACAGGACAAGAGAATCTTTAAACATTGTAATTTACTGAAAAAGCCTGGGAAGAAAACCTCCTTTTCAAGAAGTTACTCTTTTTATGGCTACTCGTTGTTTATTAACTGCCTAACAATTAACAACGAAAATAGATTGCGGGGTCTTAAGAAAGGAACTTTGCAAAGGATGGGGCTAATATAACTCCATAGTAGAAGGTAACAAGCAGAACTAAATTGCCATGGTTTGAATGATTATGTCCCTCCAAAATTCATGCTGAAATGTAATCCCCATTATGGTGATATTAAAAGATGGAGCCTTTGGGGGGAGTGAACAAGTCATGAATGGTCAACCCTCGTGAATTAATTAATGGCTTATAAAAGGGATGGAGAAATATAGCCTGGCCTTTTTTGCCTTTCTGCCTTCCACCGTGTGAAGATGTCACCTTGAGGAGATGCCTTGGATGGAACAGGCTCTCGACAGACACAGAACCTGCCAATCGATGCCTTGACCTTAGACTTCTCAGCCTCCACAACCATAAGAAGTAAATTTCCATGGTTTATAAATTAGCTAGTCTGAGGTATTTTGTGACATCAGCACAAATGGACTAAAACAGAAATGGTACATTTTATTATTTCAGGTCTTAGGTTTAGGTTTATGTATCCATCTTCACTTATCTTTCACTATTTGTATATAAAGATACAGTGACTGCCTTGTAGAATAATAGCAATGCCTAAAATGAAAACAAAAAAAAGCCCATGAATTTTATAGAACATCATAAACACTCTGCAATAGTGATATCATAAACTTTAATTGATTCAATGTAATTCTGAAATAAATCCTAATTATTGAAAAAAATTGAATCCTAATATGATTTGAGTATCATGTACTTAATGAACTTTTCAGCGTATATAATCATGACAATTAGAGTAAAAGCAAGAATGAGAAAACTCCTCAGCCAGCTGTTTTTTCTGACACTATGAATGAACATACACAGTTTAGAGAATTTTAACTTTAAAATAACGTATCAAAAAGTAGTAGTCCACCAGGGGATATAGTTTCCCTCTGCAATCACCCTCATGTTGTCTGCAAGCCCCTTAGTCTTGATGGGTGGCAACTTCTTTTGCACAAGTAAGTTAAATACTCTGAAGACATTTTGAGATGAAAATCATGTAATACTATATAGGAAAAATATTAAAATATTACATCTGCTAATCGAGGATATGGTTTTACACGAACCATTTCTTAAAATGAAGGATAAATTGCAATACTGAGATAAGGGACAATAGACTCAGTCAGCACTTTTATCAAAATAGATGTTTTAGTCAGACACTATTATTAGGATACAGTGCCTAATAATCTGCCCCTCCAGATCGACTTTATACACTTTTCTGGACTTTGCTGTCCATTTTCTGGTTGGCTTAGCCCAATTGGCAAAAGACTGGTAGGTATAAAGAGATTGAGCTTAGGTTTTTGTTCCCATGGGTCCTCCACATCCCACACTGTCTCCTGCCAGGACCCCTCAGCAGATAGTGCCTGAGTCTCCAGCCCCCCTCACTCATTCAGTCCTAGTGTGATAACTCCATTTACTTGTTAGTTCTTCTCCAAATACTGACCTATTTCTTATGGTTTCCCTAGAGTTTGTTTGTACCTTAGTAAACAATCCTTTTATTAAACTAATCTCAAATTGCCCCATGGGTTCCATCTGTTTCCATCTGGGATGATAATTGATACAGTCTCTGAGCAAATTTCTTTCATGTAATGGGTGTGTGTTTATGGGAGTGGGGAGTAGATCATAAAGAAGTACCCAAATAATTAAGCTAATTTCAGATGGTGAGGAGTCTTAGGAGGAAAATGAAATCAAATGTCTCGGAAGCGTTATCAGAAAAATCCTCTCTGCGGAAAGGCTTTACAGCTGAACTCTCAGAGAAGTGTGGAAGGCAGACCAGGAAAGAACACAGGGCAGAGCCCTCCAGGGACAGGAAGGAGGCAGGAAAGCATCACTCCTTCAAAGCATGCAGGAAGGGTGGTCAGTGGCCAATGTGTCTGCAGCCCAGCGGATGAGGGAAGGACGGTATGAAACGAGACCACGGACGGGGAGAGCGGAGGTGAGGTAGTGGTTTTCAAAGATAAATAAATGCTTCTGGGGAAGCATCTCGAAAATTATGGAATCACTTTTGGCTACTACAGAAATGAAGTCTTCTCTTGGCATGTATTTAGTGACAGAAAAGCAACTACAATTTTGGAAACTGTCCTGTGTAATATCAAACCTTTTTTAAATGTCCTGCTGGATGCTCATATAGGTTAATTATTATTATTATAATATTATCTGAGACTATTCAGAGAGAGAGAGAGAGAGACTGTTTTGTTTTGTTTCATTTTTCAGGAACGTGGCTACTTCGTGGATCATGGGGGGACTTACTTACCTAAGGTGTGTGTGACAGTGATAATATTCAGGATTTATAAATTGACTACTAGTCTAGAACCCATCATGCTGTTGAAAAACAAACAAAACCATAGATCCACGGAGGAAGGAAATGAGAAGACTGTAGTTTTGAGGGAGAAACAATCCACAGATTGGGAAGATGCTTTCTGGGAAATGGAGCTGGTATATATTAACTTGTCTTGTGGAGTCAAGGAGTCAGTTTCATATATGTAATGAGTGGAGGGGGGCAAATCTATGAACATTAGTAAGGGAAGTCAGCTGCATGCACAGTACGTAAACAGTAAACATTTATGTAACATTTCATGTTTACTTTGGGGTGGGATTTTAGCATTAAAATGAGGTGAAATTTAGCTCTTTAATTCAAAAGATGAACTATAGGGTACAAAGTTTGTGCACAGTCTCCACAAGCT